TTATCACTATATTATAATATAATAAATCAGATAAACATCGGAGAGATATGATCTAAAAATGAGCCATATATGGCCCATAAATGAGTCATTTATGGCTCATTTTTTATCTCATTTTTCACGGCCTGGGCCACGGTTACGGTTAACCGTTCAACCGGTTATTTACGGTTAACCGTTCGACCGGTTACTACGGTTACGGTTATGACCGGTTACGGTTATGACCGGTTACGGTTATGACCGGTTACGGTTAACCGCCTAATTGGGAGTAAATATGACCAAATTTTTTAAAAAGGTATGGGAGGGGGGTGTAACGGTCTCGAAGCCCGTTACTATTCCTTTACTGTAATCTTCGAACTACAGCTGTTAATCAATCAAAATTACCAAATAATTTTGGGCAGTCACAAGAATTAAATCAACAAACAAATATCCGTTGCTGGTATTGTAAAGAACAAAGTCACTATAGCAAAGACTGTCCAACAGCTCCTATCTGTCAACAATGTAAACGAAAAGGACATACTACTACGAGTTGTTATCAGAGACAAATATGTGGCTATTGTGGTCGACAAGGACATATTGAAGAAATTTGTCGAATTAAGAAACAATCACAACGACCGCTAAATCCATATCCGCCTCAAGGATACACACGACAGCAGCTATCATCATCACAAAATCAGCAATATTTAAACTACTAAGGAAGAGGTCGAATGAGGATAAACCTACTTCCGATTTAAAAGAATCCTCAACAATAACCACGACAGTAATAAATAATGTAGAACAAATCGACAGCAATACATCTCAACAAATTATCAGAGTCGTTCAGCATGATGATGGTGGAAAACGTTCTGCAATAGAAGCGTTACGAATCTTTGGTGCTGCTGGCCGTAATGAAGAGGCATTAACAAAGAAGAAACAACAATCTCTATTAGATGTAGATCGTCAATCGAATCCTGTTCGACAAAAATTTGTTGACCATCATCTCAAAAATCAGCAACAATTATCAACAATAATTGAAGAAGACGAAAATGATACAACAACATCCAATGACTCTAATGAGGATACCATGTCTGAAGAGGAGGATGTACAACAAGATGCCGCTGAAGATGGTGATCCGCTATGTATGACAAGAAAAGTATGTGTACATTCTTCAAAAACTGAGGGCGAGGCAAATTTGAGAATTAAGGAAAGAAAACGAAAGAGAATTACATGTTTTAGTGAATCAGTTAATGGGCATGCATCTAACGCTTACTGATTCCAATGCCAGCTATAAAATTACCAGAGGCTGCGCTACAACAAAAGGAAAAATTAACGATATTAATGGGATTTTAACGATTGATACAGGTGCAGGAGTAACAATAATGAATTATCAACATTGGATAATCATCGGTGGCAATTCACAAGATATTCATCCATATTCTGGGTCAGATATCGTTGGTCCAGAAGGAAGCTCTATACAACCAGCAGGCTGGATTGATGTAGATATCACAGTTGCTGGACAAACAACACGCCACCCATGCATCCTAGCACAAAAATTCAATCAATTAATATTGTTGGGAACAGATTTTCTGTACAAAACAGGAATTATATTGGACATTCGCGGTGGAAGATTATGGCGAAAATCAACACCACTCTACAAATACCTATTAAGTACAGATCTTCATCAAGCTGGTCGTTTGGATGTTCCGGTTTATGCCACAGGGAAACGAATTCGCGCTTCTGTATTGATTACCGTCGGTTGAATGAGGTCACCGTTCGAGATGTTTACCCCTTACCTAGGATAGACGATACTCTCGATGCTCTGCATGATGTCAAATATTTTAGCACATTAGATTTACGTTCAGGTTTTTGGCAAGTAGAGCTCGATGAGGAAAGTAAAGAGAAAACGGCATTTGTGACACACGATGGCTTATTTCAATTCACTGTGATGCCGTTTGGTTTAACTAATGCACCGGCTACATTTCAACACCTCATGGACGTTATTTTGTCCGGCTTGAAATGGCGCTGTTGCTTGGTATATCTAGATGATGTCATCATCTTCTCTTCTACTTTTGATCAACATCTCAAAGGCATAAACGATGTTTTAGGACGATTGCGTCAGAGTAATCTAGCTCTTAAAGCATCTAAATGTCATTTTTGCCACAGAGAGCTCAAATATTTAGGACACATAGTTAGTACCAAGGGTACACGACCTGATCCAGAAAAATTAAAAGCTGTACGTGATTTCCCTGTTTCGTACAAAGCCAAAGGTGTCCGCTCATTTCTTGGATTAACCGTTTATTATCGTCGGTTTATCCAAGACTATGCAACTATAGCTGAGCCTCTGTTGCAATTAATTGGTGTTAAGCGTTCACCTGTTTTCGTCTGGATACCAGAATGTCAGGATTCTTTCGATGAGTTAAAACAAAAGCTCATAACTAGTCCCATAATCTCATATCCAGACTTCAATCATCCATTTATATTACAACTGGATGCGTTCGATTATGGATTAGGAGCTGTGTTAGCCCAGAAAGTTCCTCCGGATGGAGAGGAACATGTAATCGCTTACGCTAGCCGCACGTTAAACGAATCGGAACGTAAATATTCCGCTACGGAACGTGAGTGTTTGGCGATTGTTTGGAGGACTCAACACTTTCGTCCATATTTGGAAGGAAGGCCGTTTGAAGTCTGGACGGGTCATCGATCTCTAACATGGCTCAGAAGGATCCGACTAGTCGATTAGCACGCTGGGGTATGAAACTAGACGCGTTTGATATGATGGTAAAGCATCGCTCAGGAGCGGCAAATCAAAACGCTGATGCTTTATCTAGATACCCAACAGAAGTCGTCTCACCGCTTCAGACGAAAAATATGAACGCTAAACACGAACTAAATAAAAATGTTTCCACACAGCAAGAGGTAGGTGTAAATGTGTGGAATAGATGTAATGTCCTTGATGATTTAAACAAGCGCAGCGGACGGATAGAGAACTCCAGCCTCTAATTGATTATTTGCATGATGGAATATTACCCTCAGATGAAAATATTTCAAAGAAAGTGCGTGGAACTCTATCGTCTACGACGATTTGATGAGGAGCATTCAAATCGATTTAATTATAACCAACATTTATTAGTCATTCCAAAATCAAAAATTCAGAATTTATTGTACTTCGCACGTGATCACGCAGTTTCAGGGCATTTCGATAGGAGAAAAACTCTACATCGGTTGTATTCCCGCTTTCATTGGCAGGGAATGCGAAAGGGCATTTCTGCGTAAAGAAGATACTAACCCTTCCGACCAGAATAAGTAAAGAGAGGAAAGTATCGTGTAAGAGACGAGTGTTTTTCATGTTCTGCTGACAGATAAAATATGGGAAATATCCTTCTGGAAAAAAATAGGTGCACACAGTATTTTTAAGATATTTTCCTTACGAAAGTATACTTTTACAAAAGTGACCCCATATTCTGATAGCGCTTGAAATTCTCTACAATTCTGTATGTTTATATCTTGTCTTGCATTTATTTGCTGAAAAACAAATTGAGTGCAATGATGGTTCCCACATTGTCAGATTCCCACGGACTGCATTTTGTTACTATTTCTTGAACTTGCTTTTTCAATTTAGCATCACTATAGAAATTGCTTTTTATAAAAGTGATTATATATTCTGATAGCGCCTAAAATTCTCTATCATCCTATATATTTATGTCTTGTCTTACATTTATTTGCTGAAGAATAATCTAAGTACAGCGAAGGTACCCCCAATTGACAAGTACCAAAAAGGTGCATTTTTTTCGCTACTTTTTTAGCTTTTTCCACACCATCTGTTCTAAAGGATTTTTTTATAGTCCACGAGAAAGAGTATATTCAGAAGTACAAAAAGAACTGACTTCTCACTTTTGCAACCCTACGGAAATAGTAGCAAAAGAAAAAGGTTTAGGTGGAAAAGAATAACAGATTTTCAAAGTTTTCATTTTTTCGTCTTTCGTATAATCTGCGTAGTTTTCTTAATTGAAGCTCTAAAATTAAAGGTTAGGTATGGTTTCGTAGAGCATTTCGCGGCGCATCGTTTTAAAAAAACATTAACCTTTGGGTCCTCAAGAGACACGAGAAAAATAGAAGATATTGAGATGCCACACTCATTACAATTTCTGGGAATCTGACGATGAGGGGACCGTCATTGCACTCAATGTATTTTTCAGCAAATAAATGCAAGACCAGATTTCAATACACAGAATTGTAGTGAATTCCAAGCGCTATCAGAATATGTGATCATTTTTGTAAAAGTATATTTTTGTAAGGAAAATATCTTAAAAATACTGTGTGCAACTATGTTTTTCCACGAGGATATATCAAAAAGAAGCAGCGGGTGTTCTTCGTGATGAGAATAAATAATTCTTCGATGGTATATGACAGAAAAACATAATTATGATGTGTTATATTAATGTCATTGTTGGTACTCGGCAGTTAGAGAAAAGTTATTGTGAAGGAGGATTAATAAACACTGATAGTTGGTGAAACAAAACGTTTTTTCTTGTTACAGGGTACCACCAACGACATGAATAGATTGTATATTTATATATTTCCCATATTTTATCTGTTAGTAGAACATAAAAAGCACTCGTCTGTTACACAATACTTTCCTCTCTTTACTTATTCTGGTTGGAAAAGTTACTATGTTCTTATAAGGGAAAACCATGTATTCTATAAGCCTAGTAGCTTTCTTTGTCCTCCATATTTCCACAGTCAACAGCGATGATAATCTATTCACCACTGCGTTTTGGGAAACAGATAGTTGCATGCATCCAATAACTGCAGCAACAAGAACAAAATCTAAAGGAATAACATTAGAAATTGTACAAGTACATCAGTCTGTGCCATTTCACCTATTATTAACAAATAAAAGGAAGTTTGGGCATAAGAAAAATCGATATTGGCTTATGTTATCCATCGACGATGAAAACCTTACTCTTCGAAAGATTGTTAACGATCGTCAAACATTATTAAAGGAAAGTATGGCTCGTGATCGTATTTTACAACTAGTACAGCCAAGTCGATACAAGTATTGGCTCAGCATAGATTTTAAGAATTTCTTGGTTAAATATGGTCAAGGTGAAATGAGAAATGAATGTACATTGTTTAGTGTTCATATGACGGATAATGATGACAAAAAGTATTTAACGAAATTGAAATATTCATATTCAAAGTTCATATTTGATAAAGATGAAGATGAAAGTAGTGAAGAACTTAATTTATGTCATCAAATATATAAACGTCCTGTGGAAGATAACCCACCGATATTTGTTTCTGAAGAACAACTGATAGATGACCAGCCAGCAACTGATTCTAATAAAAACATGGTAGCAGTTGAAGATTTGGATAAACCAAATCAACGATTGTATAAAACTGTTATGGGTTTTAAACTATCTAATCCGGAGCATCCAAATTTCACGATTGCTGCGATTGAAAACAGTTGTCGTGAACCATCTGGATGGTGTTATGCGACATTGCAGACAAAAGCCAATGCTGTTACAAGAAGAATAAATTCGACATCTATTCGAATTAGGGTAGGACATTTGACATTTTTGGAAATTTGGCCATCATATCATGAATCAGCAGTCATTCAGCATTCATTTAACACACATGGTATTATACGTATCCTTTCTAATAAACTTATGATCGAATTTTACCCGTATCTCAGTGCGAATTCGCAGCAGAAACCCTTTTTAGCACGATTATGTGAAGAAAATGAAGTTATATATTTTAAACCGGGTCTAAATCAAATTTATCGATTTTTTAATCCAAGAAATACGCTGGCTATCATTGTACAAGCTTTTGATACGATAGCATTCGAATACATAAGCAGTGATCGAAAGCAAATTAAACGGCAGTCTGGAGTGTCAACTGATACTGAATATGAAAAATTTAGGAGATTAGTCGAGAAAGATTACACAGGTAGCTGCTAAATTTGTCTTGTGCAAGGAATGTTTTTCATTGTTATGTTGTTTCAGATTTTGCAGCAATGACAACTACAACTAGTTCTACTACCGCCACGACCACCTCGATCACAACCGTAACCTTCGCTCAACTAATGACGAGTAGTACCGAGAATTCATCATCTACAACAACAGCGCTGAGTGAGCTAGACTACGATGCACGTATTGTAATAATTCTGAAAAGACTTCTCTTAGCTTGAACTTGAGATAGTAATAGGGAAATACTGTAATGGCTCTTTATATTCCCAGCTAGTGACAACTTGCAGATATTGTGTTGATATGTTACGCTGATCACGAATATGAGCTTTAGAATGTGGAAATATATCGTCTTTCTGAAGAAAATCAATTTTTACTGATTGTACTACATGGGTCTAGTCTATTTCTTTAGCCTACCATCACTAGCAGAACACTGTTTAAATTCTGAAAACACATTAGGGATATGTAAAGATGTTTGCTCTTGCAGAAGTTGTACTCAATAGGTTTTCAAATTTTTGCGCCTCATTTTCCGGGAGAGAATCGTCCTCCAAAATGTACAGATCGATGATTTGGGTTCTCACAACATCATCAACTGTAAAAGAACGAAAACATGTGCGGAGCTCGCAGTTGTGTGAATTTGTAGTAGACACTACCTAGTATTCATGATGAAGTGGATTAGTCTAAGTCATATGTCATTATGTAGTTATACGTAGTTTAAGTTGACAATTTTTCAAGATGGCAGAATATTGATTTTTTCGGGAGCTTTTCGTAAAAATTGAATATTTCAGCAACACAACAACTTTAGGACCTCCGGTTTTCGCCAAAATTCATGAAAATATTTACTCTAAAGAAGTCCTTACTTTTAAAGAAATCTGAGATAGTCGATTGAGCAGCACCATACGGTAATAAGTCGTGCCTTAGTTATAATGGCTCTTAAACATATAAAGCGTAAAGTCAGTTTTTTAGAAATGATAAGGATAGATCGAGAGTATTGTTTTCATATTTTAGAAAATAATTTAATTTTTTTAACAACGGAATGTGGGACGGCGCCTAGGATCCGTGGAAAAAAAAGCTCCGTCCAACATCCCGTTGTTTCACGCAAAGCCAACAAGCAAGTTCGGTAGAAATCCACAAAATTTGCTAGACACTCTCTGACAGAGTCTAAAAGTCTACAAGCAATTCTATCAGATCCTCCACGTTGAATTATCTGTGCACCATAAGTTTCAGCTTTCCACAATGTTCCTGTCAAAAGGTATTCGACTTTTTCAATATAAAATGTACGAATCTAAGTATGTACTGTCCGACGCTGACGTACCAGCCTTATTCATGGAATATCTCTCAAAAATTTAAAGCAAATACTTCATCGAAACAACGATTATCGAACTAGAGTATTTTTAATGACTTAAGATGCGAAAAACACCTTTTTATCATTTAATTTCGTTCAATCCTATCCGAAAACAAGTTCAACATCCTTAATTTCTTTACTTTCTATTGCCCACATTGTTACTCTACACTTTTTTCTTATGTTCGGCAAGTTTTTTGCTAATCCTTCTTTTAGCCGTAATTATCGGCTGTTATTTTCGGCTAAAAGAAGACATTTCAGTACAAGTTTGATATAGTGGGCTAGGCAAAAGTTCTGCATTAAGTTTGTTTTTTTTGATATAGCGTTGCGATGGAGTATCATAGAGACTTCATCTTTTCTCTGCTAGAAAGAGCAAAGTGCCTAGGTCAAAGATATATAAAACTATTTGATCGGAAATGTTTTCCGAAGACC